ATATATAAAGCTACAAGAGATATGAAAGGAAATGGATTATAAAAAAAGATAATGTGATATTAAAGAAGTAGTTATTAGTTTTTTTATCTCAAATAATAAATTTACTTCAGATGATAAGTAAATTCTGAAAACTGAAACCAATAAACTTTTGAATTCAAGAGACAAGAATTTACTAATTAAGACAGTTCATAGCTTTTGTGTACTGAAGAATCAATTAACTTTGAAAAATATAAATATTTTAAATATAGCAGTTAACTAATTTCTGGCTTTAATGAGTAATGAAGCTTGAAAGCTTATGAAGATAGTAATAAATGAATTCTTCAACTTATTAAAAGATAAATGAGTATTAAAAAATGCAATTAGTAAATTATTTTGTCTTTGAGGACAAACTATCTTTTGAGAATAAACAATCCATAGAGGATAGATTGGTAGAAGATATAAAAGCTTTGAAAGAAGCATCAATTTTGAAAAAAGCTTTAAAAGAAAAAGAAAATTTTGAAAAAACTGCCAAAGAACTTCTGAATTTAATAGCTAAAGAAGTTTTGGAAGCTACAGTAAATTATTTCCTAAACTTGAAATATAAAAGTGTATTCTTAATATTATATAGTGAAGGTATAGGTAAATTGATATTTAACTATTATCTTGCTTATCTTTTATAAAAAAATACTAACAAGATATAATACAGTCTATTTTTTTATTTATTACATTAGTATCATTAGAAAAATTTTAAATCAAATTTAGATTTTATTGAAGTCTACTTATATACAAAAAGCAATCTATCTATAATCCAAATTGATAAATTATAAAATAGAAAATTTGTATTTGTTTTAGATAGTTATAATAAGATTGCTAAATATAATCATTCTCTAAATAAAAAAATGCAAAAATTATTATTAATTGTTGACCAAAATACTTAAATCTCAGCTATGAAGAAATATTTCATTCTAAAAAAAATAGAAACAGAGGATTTTAAGAACTGATACACTATTTTCACAAACTAAAATAAAACAATATATCAAAAATTATGTTAATTATTTCAAGAAAAGCAATTTATTACTATGGGATACAGACAACTATATACTAAATATAAACAATATACTACAAATAGAAGATATCCTATTCTATTAAAAATTAACTATTTTACCAGATTTTTTTAAAAACAATAAAATTTTGTATGACAAATTTATGAAACAATAGTTTAAACGTACTCAAAATCATTTAAAAAGTATTTAGAAGTACAAAACAAGTTTAATTACTTAAATAATAATTTTACTAAGCATTGTCTACAATTTAATAAAAATTTTGTTTTTAAGATGTTTGTGAACAATAATAAAAAATAAAGAGATAATGCCTGATTGGGTAATGCTTTTAGAAAATATAAATGTGAAATATCACTTAATACATTTTAGCATACTATTAATTTGATACAGAAATCAAACTATAAATTATTATAAGTTTACTTAATCACTTGTGCATTATTAAATTTACTTAATAATATATCAGAAGAACAACTCTTTTTAATATGAAATCAATTATACCAAAACCTGCAATTCAAAACTTTTTAGATGAAGAAATTCAAAAAAGACAGGTACTGTGAAGTACAAAACCTGTGATCGGTACGAGCTGTGCCAAGCTCACGATGTTCACAGTTATAATGATCTAATGCCTAAAATAGAGTTGCCGGCAGTATAATGGGGAAATCGGGTATAACGGAGAAAACTGGTAAATTCCCTAAAGACAGTTTATTAGCTTTCATGAGTAGA